TCAAAAATATGTTGAGGACCAATACATAACCTCTAAATACATAAACCTGTGCTCGCTCTCATATGCACGCAAGCACTGTCACGATCTAATGCCGGATCCTTAAAAACAATTACCGAAACGCAAAAAAACAAAACCTGACACCGGCTCAAATTAAGCACTGCTCATGCCATTCCAAACCAGTGTGACTTTCTTTCTTCTGTGAAACATATAAAAAGACATTTTGAATAATGTTGGCAAGCAAACAGTTTTGGTAACCATTGACTTCCACTGTGTGGAGAAACAAACACTGCAACATTTCTCAAAATATCTTCTTTTATGTTGTAACACAGAAGCAATAAACTCATACAAGTTTGGAACGACATGAGGGTGAGTAAATAACAGAATTTAGATTTTTAGATGAACTGTCCCTTCAAGTGACAAAGGTTTTTTTAGTGAGAGTATGCACTCAGTTACTATAAGACCCCAAAAACTTGAATACAGAGTTGAGAGATCACAAGATAATTCTCGTGAGGCTGAATTTATTGTCACGATTATGATCTCGGATAAAAATCAGTGATAAATAAATATTGATAACAAAAGTGCAGGTTCACCTACATTCTGTCTTAAAAGAATGCCAAACATGCCAAATAATACAACTATTTCAGTTAAAATATCATAAAAAGCAAACAAGGCTTTCGTTTGTTAGGAAAATCATGTGAAATGGTCATTGAAGTTGATCGCCATGCCTTTTATCAAGTCAGCAGAAGCCCATATGAGGGCGCATATGCTCAGTCTGAGGGGAATACAAGTCGAGCCAAGTGCAGAAATCCATCACTCATGATGTCCACAGGGTATGCCCTAGCAATGGAGAACAGACCGAGTCTGATGAAAATGTGGGGTGACAAGGGCTTTCTAACTCAAGAGAATTGAGGATACCAGTAAGCGGCTATCTGCTGAGAAAGGCTTTTAAGTCTAGTCAGCACTTGAACACTTGATTAGTGAAAAAGGGAACCAAACAATAGATAGCAGCCTCATTTCCACATTTCAGCATTATTAACTAGATTGGCACGATCTTACACGAATCTCATCATTTACTCACCCTCATGTGATCCCAGATGTACTAAACTGTATTTGACTTTTTTCATGAGATGAACACAAAGATTTAGAAAAGTAATCTGTCTCTATGAGCACATATAATGTAAGGGAATAGTAAAACCAAATGTTGATGCTTTAAAACTGCACATAGCGATTATGACAATAACCAATATGACCCCAGAAGGTAAATCATCATCTTCTGAAGTGAAACAATGTAGGCGTGTGCAAGGAAATTACTAACATTTTTATCCTTTTAAATAGGGCTGCACGATAAATCGAAATGGAATCGAGATCGCGATTCGACAGAAGCTGCGATTGTCATGCGTATCTTTCAGTGAAGCACTGTTCTGTGATCAGCAGTAAATCTCCATCCAAAGGCCAGAGGGCTGTAAGCCCTTCGTTTTAGGCAAGGGGAGGGGCGATCAACATTAGATCTAGCACATGGGTATTGGCAGGTGGGGGTGCACCCAGCTGACAAAGAGAAGACTGCTTTTGTGACGCCGATGGGGCTATATGAATTTAATCGGATGCCGACGGGGTTATGCAATGCCCCAGGAACTTTTCAGAGACTGGTCGAGAGCTGCCTGGGGGATCAAAATTTTGAAACATTATTGCTCTATTTGGATGATTTCATAGTTTTTTCCCCCTCCTTTGAGGCCACATTGCCCATCTAGATTTGGTCTTCAGTCGTTTGGGGGACTTTGGCCTAAAGGTCAAACTCAGTAAGTGTTCCCTTTTCCAGAGTCAAGTTCATTATTTGGGCCATGTGATTGCAGAAGGAGGGGTGTCACCAGACCCAGAGAAGTTTCGGGCAGTGGAGGCCTGGGTAACCCCTCAAAATATTACTCCGTTGCGTGCTTTTACAGGCTATACCCCGTATTTTTTAATGTTTGGCCGTCATGCAAAATTGCCCATTGACGTTATGCTGGGCCGGGGAGATGGATTTTTGGGGACAGTTGACAGCTGGGTTCATCACCATCATAAAAGATTAGTGGCTGCCTATAATCAAGCCCAAAAACAAATTCAGAAGGCTCAATTTCATCAAAAGAAGGGGTTTGATCGTAAAGTTAAGGGGGAACCTTTGTTGATGGGGCAGAGAGTTATGGTCCTAAATAAGAGGGCCAGGGGACGGGGTAAATTGGATGATAAATGGGAACGGAATGTGTATGTTGTCAGGTCACAACCTAATCTTGATATACCCATTTATGTTGTTAAGAAGGAAGGGGTTGATGGTGAGGAGAGGGTGTTGCATCGCAATATGTTAAGCCCATGTAAATTTGATATAGCCTTGCCCTTAGAAGAGAAAAGTGTTGAGGCTTTACCTTCTGATTCTAACGTCAATTGATTCCTATCAGATTCAAATAGACGTATATTAGATGTCTTTAAAATGTTTATGATTTAGAAAGTATGTAAAACTGACATCTGAAAGACGTCTAGCAGATGCTTTCCAGATCAAGTGATCTTTAACAGACATAGGCCTACATGTGCTATCTGGGTCCCCTCCCTTGCCTCACAGTGCTTTGGTCCAAATGTCTTCTTTCCTCTTTTACATCACCTACACACACAGGAGTCCGGTGAGAGAGAACAAAGCCAATAGTTGTGGAACTCCAGTATGTAAGGCTGTCAAGGCTATTTTGTTCACTTAAACATCGGATAAAGTGATTATTTTCTCTTTAATACAGATTATGCCAATGTATTTTTCGATGAGTTGCTATGTTAGCAATAATAACGTTACCTGCTTGACGGAA